CCTCTATATGCATGACTTACCTTAATATGTGCTTGTTTTCACCTTACATCTGACCGGCAGTATTTAAGCCGTCACAAGCACAGCGTTATTGCCTGATGATGACGTGGGACACGTCGAAACATGTCGTTTAAAACTTTCATTATATATATATATATACAAATATATCATTTACATGTTGGAATGAACTTAACTAAAAATAAAAGAATAAACAATAAAAACACAAAATAACAAAATCCCATTTTATATATTTAGTTTTCAGGTAATAAATATAATAAACAAGTATTTGAAATTCATACTAGGCCTATTATAATGCCATTGTATATTCTTTGTATAAACTCATTGGTTGGTCAAACAATTTAAGGATTTTTGCATAAAAAAATATTAGTTTATAACTCATGTGATTATTTTAAATGAGTAAACCCTATCATTATCAAATGATAATGATAGGGTTTACTCATTATCTTTATCAAATGACTTTTTTTAGGGATTTAAATAAAAGTTACTACACACAGTATATTATTTTACACAGCAGAAATGAAAGACATACGCAGCAAATGCATTCTACAAGTCAATATACATTTAACTTTGAAAATGTGAAAGAAATGGATGGTAATAAACTGCTGTATGGTGAACATATCAATTCTGTACAGTTGTAATAATCAGCTCTGTAAAATTTAAATGATAACCATAGCAATTAGCATATATCTGGACTTACACCACATTTATGAAGGCCAGAGAGGGACAGAGAGAGAGAAGAAAAATATATTAGAAACTAAAAAGCAATACAGGGAAATGGCGAACAGACATCGACAATCGTATTGGGTATAAAATCATAATAAACCATTGAGGGCGCTAATTTCCTATCTTTACACATAGCAATCAGGGCCGCTTCTCAATGTTTTTGTTGTGATACCCATGATTCTTGCTGTATTTGTAATTTCAAACGGAACTTAAACTTGAAAAAATCACTAGTAGATATTCCAAAATTTACTCCGCTCACTATGAGCGATTGGATATCTAAAGGAGTAAAAGAGACGGATGAGAAATCATAGACTTTCTTTAAGGAGAAATACGTACACGGTGGGGTGATTGCCGAAATGCCTATGGCGACGGATGAAAAACAAAGCTTTAACAAAGTTGTGTAAAAGTAAAATAGACTTAACCAAAATCAACTACAGTATTAATTATTGTTAGACCAGCCCAAGCTGGCACGTCTAACTAGCCTACAGTAGGCTACAACCAGTAGGCCAACACTAGCAGTGAAGTAGGGGCCTACAGTAGTCAAGCTAGAAAATTACACTTTGTTAATACTACTGTAAAATTTAACTGTAAACCTATTGTAATACCATAATAATGGGCTATACTACAAAAAATAAAACGAACACTAATTATCCAGTTACCAACAAAGCAGTGGGTAGGTACAGACACAAACGTGCCTGGGATCATTTCGCGTGAACTTTCTAGGTAGGCCTGGCCTAGCACTTGGTTAGCTGGTAGGTGACACAAATGCGCCAATTTACGGTTTTAATTAAATACAAATTTAACTAAAATGTGTTCAAATCTGCCTATACAATATAAAATGTTACAGGGAATTGTAAAAAATGGCATGCTACTGTTTTAAATGTGTTTAAAACCTTCCTTTATTTACCCTTTTCAACACACCTCATACACAATAACATAGCAAGTTTCGATTTGTTTATATTCCATACCCAACTCGCCAAATTTCAGTGACGTCAACTTGGTTCGCCATTTCCCTCTATTGTAGAGCCAAGTGAGTAGTAATTTTGACCTTCTTTCAAGAAACACAGTAACAACCTCACTGAATCAACTCAAATGAGTGATAATTTCTTAATAAAATGCTTGCCGAATTAATAATCTCTACTGCAAGTGCAATGCTTGAAGTATATAATATACCTGTCTCTTATACACATCTAGATGTGTATAAGAGACAGCTCATTGGTTGGTCAAACAATTTAAGGATGT